ATTTTCTTTTTTCCCTAAACAGATTTGGAACCTCGTGCCGCCGTTCCATCCAAACTACGTACGTGCTTTTCTTTCTTTCCAAAGTCCAATCAGTGTCACTTGCATTGTATTTATCTAGAGGGGTTCTTCAATCACGAGATTGTAACAGCCTTTGCTTTTGCCTTTTTCCATTATCGGCAATATCTATCTGTCATTCTTGAGTGCGCAACTTTCATAACTTTAAGGACGCGGCGCCCAACACTCTTTATCGGCAAGACAGTTGATTGAAAAAGGTCTTGTCTTGACTTTAATTCAGGTGCAAATTGCATACTGATAACCGGTACTGCCTTATACTACAAAGTTTAATTTTATAGTTTGATCTTTAATTTTTACACACATTCTTTTACATCCTTACATTTTATACCGAGAAACATTTACAAAAAGTAATGAAAGTTAACCACAAATTATATAATTAATAGAGTATAAAGCGTGCAATTCTTTATAATAACGCGAATCACCGTGCAATTATTCAACTTTTGTTCAAAATGACAAATTGCTCGATTAACAGCAAATTTCCTCGATTTTGTTTATATGTGTATATATATATATATATATATATATATATATATATATATTAAATAAGTAGTAATCGAAAGTATAAATGATTTTAAGTTATATGTGTTGAAATGTGTTAATAATACATGGATTTCATAGGCACTAGATTTAAGTTACTTACTAAAAAGATATAAAAATGATAATAAATTGTTGGCTTATTTCTGGTGACAGAGTAATTGCAACTCATGAGAATTGCATTGGTGCTTTTTCTTCCAATTGTATGACAATCGTATAAATGCTTATTAACTAACATAAAAAATGCTTAATAACGTCTTATTAAGATAAGGAGCTGAAAAATATTAACATATCGTACAATCAAAATAATTAACAGAATTATAAAACCATATTATATTTGACATTAATCCTCTTCAAGACTTATTATTTTTTAGGATAATTATTTGATAGTTAATATTAGGTTCTACAGGATACGAAATAAACAGCTGAAAAGTTTGTTGGGCCAAGTTCTCTTAATTATGAAAATAGACCGCTTCTCTCGAATCGTCTACAAAGTAAGATTCTGGACTTCGCGTGTGGTCGCTGCACACTTGGAGTTTGAATTTTTTTGAGCACCGCTCGCGTGGAAATCTTGACTGACGCAGCGCCAGTTCAATATTCTTCCGATGGGAATTCGTAGGAGCGACCACATCGTGTCCTTCTTTCACATCCGCTCGCGTGCGGGAAAAACAATATAGTCTCATAGAAAGCTAAACTTCGGCTATTAAATTGTAATTTAGCCGACTATCCCCCACCCCCCCCCCCCCCAACCGGCAATTATATCTAGCCTATCTCACTGCACCACCTCTTTCTCCAACATTTGGATTTGCTAGCGAAATTGAAGACGCGCTCGAGCTGCTATTGCTCAAAAGAAAGCGCGTGTCCGTTTCCGCTCACCCTTTCGATCCGCTACTAAAGCAGGGTGGGCAGTTTAATAGGTGGCCGCTACTACCCCCCCCGGGGCCGCCACCCCCCCCCCCCCCCACCCCCACCCCACCCCGCCGGACCTCGTTGATGTTAGATACTGCCATGGATGTCGGTAATTACCCGTGCATTGTTTCCACTTTACTAATACATCGATCTGTACTGTGTCTGCGGTGTATATTCATTTCGCTGACGGGCTTATTTCATTCGATTATCTCTTCTTCTTTTTCCGAGCCCAGGGCACTTTTAATTGCATCGTTATACTGTAATTTTATATAATTATCAATCACACGCTTATCACTGGTTTAGGGGTACTATTTTATTCTGCGCTACGCGGCTACACGACCAGTTATTTCTACTTTAAGAACGTACGTTAATTTATAAATATTCAATATTGTTAAGTACGAGAATTCTTGAGTCGCGTGATTATTACCAGACTCGCTGTGAATACTTTGTCTTTTTGTTTGTTTTATTTTGTTTTGTTTTTTATTTTCTTTAAAGCAATTGCGAATATTAATTGAAAAGTATAACCTTATTCATATACATAATAAACTGTTTTTATCAAAAATTGAGATTATACTATCAATTTATTTACCTGCATAATCAGGTATTGGAAAATTCATAACAGTGTTTCCGCTTGTTTATATGGTAAAGGTTTTTGATACAGATTGCATATTTAGTATGTTAGTATTGATATTTTACTCAACAAACTTTGTTTTACAGCATAGTGTGCTGTAGAAGCATTTAATAATATATTTATTATATATATTACACAAATCTAATAATATGGAGTTTATCGTAGAAAGTTAACTTTCGTTCTCTATATTTTGGGTTAAATTTATAAATTTCCAAATTGCCCCTTCGTTCACATATTGTAGGACAACAAAACTTTTAAATTCAATTTAAAATCAACATTCTTTTTAATTATATGTTTTATCATTCATTCTGTATAGATTATATATACGTTTTAGAGTGGATATAATATGCATGTTAGTGGATTACGTGCTTACACTTAGTACATAAAGTATATAAAATTTTCAAATTGGATCAACAATTAAAAAATTATATGTAAATCACGTATGGCGTATTGACTAGTTATAATACCAATGATAAATTTGCCAATTCAATTAATCAAATACATTTCGTTATTTCCTAAATTTTGAATTTTATAGATAAGTTTATTTAAAAGGATTTGTTTAAATTTACACGAGCTGTGCTTTAATTAATTTTAAATTTACGGGAATGCGCAATTCTGAATTTCGATATAATAAAATGGTATAAAAAAAATGTATTACTTAAAATGAATTATTTGTCAATGAAAAATTAAAAAAAAAAAAAAAAAAAAAACTGTTCGTAAAGACCTTTTAAAATTATAATGTATATCTTCACCAACAATGTTATCTTTTTAATAAGTGTCGGTTATGAATTTTTATTCACACAAGTTCTACTCCAACTTTTTTTAGCAGTTGTGCAAGTTACAATTTTGCTACTCTATGTACAAACTTAATCCTATTATATTAAGTCATTATTAGTTTATATTGTTAAATTCAAAATCTTAGTAAACTCAGTTAGAATTTTGTTGAATAATTAAAAGTAGGTTATATGAATTCTATGGTTTTAGCTGATAAAAGAGGAAAAAAAAATATCTTGTCATTCTAACGTAAACTGTGTAAGAGAGCGATATTGGCAACTACGTCAAATTTTATTGTTTACATTGATCTGCTAGATCAGCTATTGACATTAAATAACAATCGAAATATCAAGCAAGTAAATAATCGACGTCTATTAGAGAGAGAATATTTTTGGCAAATTGTAATCCGTATTTAAAGGCAATCTCATCTCATATCAAGTGGTAGATAATAAATTAGTTTTCAACAGTAAACTGCTTTTTATTAGGCAAATCAAAAGTTAATTAAAAAAGTTTTCACAGTTTTAATTTTCAATTTAATGTCATCACTGCTCGGAGGGGGAGGGGGGCGTGGAGAAACTGGAAAGACCGGAGTGGCGTTACTGAATGTAGGGTAGTAGTTGAGTAAGTGCAGTGTGAAAAGCGAGCATAACTTATCGAGTTGGCTGGACCAGTCCTCCCCTCTGAACTCTGGAGATTCCCCGTGGCATACGAGTGACAAGCGCACTTTCACTTGTAAGATACTTACTTCTCTGTACAACCCTTGTCATAACCGTTGGGGGTCATCGACTCATTTTTCTCGGACGCTGGATGCAAAATTTGATCGTGCCGCTTAAGATTATAGGGTCGGGACACACTCCTTGACGTTTCTAAGATTCAAGGGGGCGAAAAGAATAACAATTATATCCATCCCTTTCAGTTGGCTAATTGAATACAACGTATTCGTTTGATTTATAGGGCATGCTTTATCAATTAATCTCGGTAAAATCGGAGGGAAGGGGACACAAGTCGTTTGTGATTTTTGTAATGAAGAGCAGGAGTGACGCACGAGGGGAGTGGATTTTGGTGGTACGAAATGAGTCGGAACAGTCAAAGAGAAATGCAAAACATTTTCATGGCCAAGAGACGGAGGCACATACAGTTGCAGGAGGAAGGGAAGATATTCCCTCTTATTGAATTCTTTTTCCACGTAACCCATCTGCCTTCGCACGCTCATACTCTTTTTCTCCCCAACCATCCGTGCTTGCACAGGCGCACGTGCACACACACACACTCTCTCTCTCTCTCTCTCTCTCTCTCTCTCACTCTCTCTCTCTCTCTCACTCTCTCTCATTCGACTCTCCTCTTTCTAACCCCTTTAGTGTCGGAAATATCGCTGTAGAATCCTACAAATGAGCCTGTGTACACACGAACAAGCAAGGGACGTTAGATACGATTTATATTGTTCAACCCTTCCGCTATCGGCATTGCCTCCTACTACCTTTTCAGATATATATATGTATATATATATATATATATATATATGAGAATTGGCCACACTATGCAGACACACGGATCGATATCTTTATTACAAGAAGTATTGCCCCCTCTTTTGCGCTCATTATCTCATTCTTAAAAGCATTGTACGCCAATACTTTGCTTACTCCGATCTTTCTGTTTTCGCTTCTTTTTACTCTCTTATGAAATGTTATGCTTCACTAGTCCTTGGCTGGTACCCCGGTTAAATTTAATAATGACTTTATGGGAAGTTGTGCATGTTAAAGGTGTGCAACTAGAATTTAATTAGAGCTCGAAAGCAATTTAAATGTAATATCCTACACTACAGTCTTGCTAGCTGTGTTTTTTTAACCATCAAACATTATTTCTTCTTTGCGGCGAGTTCTTTCGGTCTTTAATTAAAGCGCGAAAAGTTATGCCCACCACTGAGTAGTGCGGCGATTATAAATACTTTTAATCAGAGTAAGCCGAGTTAACTTTAATTTCTTCGATGATCGAGTTATGTATAAATATTTTTCCTAATCATAATTTAGAACTTATCACTACATATTCATTGAATATTACTCATTTCTCTTTGTTACAGACTTATCAGCCATCTCAGTTAGCATCGTTTTATTCAGCAACAAACATCCTATTAAGGTAAATATTTTATTAGAGTTAATAATAATATGTAACACTACTTATGATAACCAACACCGACCAATGGTTCACATTTATAAAAATTATCACAGATTACTTTACATTAGAAATTTTAATATATTCCAAAAATTTATAACCTTTTTACAAGATAGTATTCTAGGGTGTAATTAAAATATATTTTTTTGTATTTTCTATTTATTTATTGATTTTTTTAATATAAACATTGCATTTCACATATTTTTATAATTCTATGTTATTACACTGCAAACTGTTGACAAAGATATTTTTGCATCCTTAAAAACCAAAGTACATTTAAGCAATTTATCGAACAAGTCATCATGTATTTTACATACTCTTTACGAAATTGAATAACGATATGCATTTTATATATTTTAAAATAGTTATAATAAGAAATTTTAAAAGCACGTAGTTGAAATTTTGTAAAAATAGTAATCGAATGTACGGATGACGATCAAAAGAGAAAAAGTAATGCAACGTATATCCAAATTTTACAGTCGCACTTACATTGAACATTGCAGCCCTAAATAAATGATACTAACTAATTATAATAATTATAATATCACATTTACATAATAAACAGCAAAAATATTGTATTAGTTTAAATATTTTATGTGAATTTTAGCTGATGTTAAATTATAAATTGTAGCTATAAAATTTTTATCACTCAAATAAGCAGAGATTGCAATATAATAAGTTATGAATGATTAATAAAAAAAAAAAATATCAAGTCCTTGACATACTTTGGCTTTAAAGAGAATTATGAATTTTCTGCAAACATTTATCAAAGAAGTTATGTAAGTAGACAATGGTATTTGGAAGTTTTAAAAGATTGAATACCTACTGACTAATGTTTGGCTCTTAGAATAATGCAAAAAGTGACTAATGTGAAAAAAATCCAACAGTATGTTCCTTCTCTCTCCCATATAAATATTCAGTTATTATTAAAGGATCAGGAAAAGAGAGAGTCGTAACTAAAGTTTCGCTCGTCACTTTACATACAGTTATGTAAAATTCTACCCTTTTTACAATTATTAAAACATCACACAGTCAGATGTCTACAAGATATTCAATCGTATTTATTATTGATAATCATTAAAATACTAAAATTAGTTACAAAAAATATTTAGAGCTTAAATTTAACAAGAGATTGTGATTTTAATGTATTACCATAAAGGCCAAAATATTTATCCGACGAGATATAATAAAATAATGTACGAGTATGCATAATTTTGTATCGATCCTCGCAATAATTTTAGAATTATGGAAATAATGAATGGCAATAATATATGACACTTGGTTACGAATTATCGTGATTAATTAAATTCATGCATAGATAATATTTTCAAAAATGCACGCTCGTACATAAGATCGTACATGCAAAGGTGGTATATGCAATTATATCGAAAATAATAATATCTTATTATAAATAATAAGACCGACTAAAAATACTTGTGAATGCTCAATGTTAATGTGTACTGTGCAGTTATAAATAATAAAATGTACTCGTGGGTAAAAAGAATATCTAAGCTATGAGATAATCATCGTGTAGATGCTGATTTTATATAGCAAGTGAAATCCAATAAACGTCAATGCCAATTGGCGAACTTGCGATATTTTACAATAAATTTCTTAAATATACGTCGATATTTAAAACGAAACAAACAAATAAAAAAAAAAAAAAAAACCAAAAAAAAAAACTTTTATTAAGCCACGTATTTTCTACATGTCCCCTTTCTACGAGACTTTTCTATTCTCCGCTGAACATGGCAAATGGAAAACATTAGAGCTGTCATGGCAACGAATATGCAAAACAATAAGTGCGCGTTTGTCGATCGGAGCAAAATAACATTTTGATAACGATGACACACGATATTTCGGAATGGAAATGGCCACGACAACATCCTTGTGCAAATAGCCCATGACGCGTCGTAAGGCGAATTGGCCAGCGCCGAGACATATGTGAAAGCCTCGACGCGCTCTACATTGTAAGAAAGGGAGAAAAAGTTGCCGTAACTAGAGCTCTTATTAAAATAAGTTTAGGGGCCATTGGCTGGTGTCGCGACGCTCACCTTTCGCCACTAGAGGAGACGTTATGAATATTAAGAGGCAGCGGGCAAAGGTGAGGTGGTTCAAGTCTGTAGGACAGATACACATCGTCGTGAAATTGATTCTCGTAAAACGAGAGCCTCCCACTACTCCGCCAACCTACTGTGACATGGTCGTCGCGACGCTCGCCCGCGACTTCTTCATCCCTTTCTTCCCATCCTCATTGACGCTTCGACGATGCGCCTCACGTAGCACTTTGGCGCACGGAACAAAACGTTTTGGCTCGAGTCGTCGCAGCGGCTGCAATTTGATTCTCCGTTTTCATAAATAATTAACGTTCGTGAGCACCTCTGCGTTTGGGCTTTGATATTGAGTAATGGTATGTACATGAATGGCTGATGTATTTGTTACTAGCGGATTGGATTGCCGTTTACGCTCTCTATTTGGCGCATTATGATCTTATCTCGATTGTTTTGGCATCACTTTGACAAAGAGGTGCGCCATTCTCGAGCATTCATCAGCTGGAAATTTCTCGTACTGCCAGGAGAGGTGGTGACAAATTATCGGCTCGATGACTGACGCGAAGTTTTGCAATAATCATTGCGAAGTTGGATATAAAGGAAATCAAAGTCGATAGCTCTGACAAATAAGATCAGCTCATTATTGATTATCGAGCGATTTATATAAAATTTTAAGGGTACTTTAGAGAAATCTGGCCTCATCTAGATTTTTCTACAATCGCAAAAACTGATTTCATGCTAGTTTATAATCTACAAAATAATATCTATAACTTTCAATTCCTTATGCTCTTTATGTTTAATGTAATGATATATAAGTGCGGCGTGATTGAAAATACCAATGTAATTGATATTACAGAAGCGTAATGTTTCTATTATCGATAAACCATAGATTTTATACCATAGATAGAAAATACATCGAATAATACATAATAATATTGGTCCCGATTATTTTTTTTATAAATTGTATTCAATAGATAATATTTATTTTTTTACGTAATTACTATTTACTTCCTGCCAGTTAAATTACTTTATCGATGAAATTAGTAGAAATAATACAAAAGTCCCTATATTTCTTTCCATTTTTACAATCATTAATTTATTTTCTATCATTATACATATATTGTTTATTATAAACACTAAATATTTACAAATTTTGTCGCTTAGTAATTTTTATAACATTTTATGATACAATTTTCAAGATATTCAATATTAATATAAATATTTTGCATAATCTAACGTTGCAGATAATAAACAAAAAAATTCTCGTTTATTGTGAAAATAAAAGGCTGCAATGATCAATTGCAATTTTTAATTAAAAAATTGTATACTATATGTATTATTACTATATTCTTATTTATAAGTATAAGTAAATGAAGAACATTATTACAATATTTTAAATTAAAATTTAACGTTTGCAAATGCTTAAAAGTTTGCCGTTCTCTTTTATTACTGGATTTTAACAAGTCGATATTTCAAAATAAGATTATTTGTGTCGAATAAAATCTTTAGCGTAATTACATATAGTACAAATGAATGTACTAAAAGTTAAAAAGGACCAAAGCTCGAGGATGTTGAAGTACAAGTTTCGATGAAACTATGTTGATAAGAGGTAGGAAAAACAAAGGCATTGCTATCGCTTTGATATACCAAGGCTTCGAAAACTAAGACAACCAATGCAATCTATAGGTTTCTTGTCTCAAAAGATGAATAGAGGAAAATGAATAGAAAAAAAAGAACAAATAAGCACCCTTTTATCTCATTACTTTCCTCTCTTTAATTTAATTGATAGTGTGCAGATTATTCAGTCAACGTGGCATTGAAGGGTCATGATAAACCAATTCGTAAAATTATTTTTAAATTGTATGAACAAAGTCTACTTAGTAATAGCCTTATATTTTGCAGTCATAAATTTTCAAATAGATAGTATTAAACTATAAGTCAGCAACAATAACTGGAACATGTTAAAGTTATATTTCGAGAATTACAGTGACATAGTTTGTAAAGCTACTACAAGTAATTCTAGTATATACATCATACGGCTTATGGACACCAAATATTTTTATTATAGAATATTATTTAAAAGCGTACACATTGCTACAATTTCAACATTACAAAACATGTAAAAATATTATTTAATTGGTTGTTGTATAAATGTAGCTCCTGTCTACAATTTATCCATCCGAAGTTTGACTTTAACATCGCTACTTTTTCATGTCTCTTCAAAATATAAATTTTAACATTTTTTAATTCAGCAGACATCAGCAATTGAAGAGACAGAAAATTAATACGTAAGCATTGTACTGCTACCATAATGCGTTGTATATTTGAAATTCCTAAATAACTTGGTAGTTAGAAAATGTCAAGTGATGATGCTGATATTACTTAAAAAAAAAAAAAAAAGAGAGAGAGACGGAATAAAATGAAAATTTTTACTTTGAAAAATGAATATATGCTTGGATCAGGTGCTTGTGTATACAACTTCTAAGAGCTAATAACCAATATCAATCACTTAAGTAAAATATTATAATAGTAAATGAATAATGGTAAATATATGGCTCAGTACTTCGCTGTCTGCATAAACATAATTATTTAAAAGATGATGATAGAATTTCATATAAGATGAATTGAAAGTAATGGCCCAACAGGATTTTAAATTAGGCAATGGATCAATGATTAAATAATAATACGCAAATATAAGACTTAATGAAGCAATAATATTTATTACTAGACTAGTTAATTATTTCTCAGATTGGAAATGCTAAATTAATAAATCTATCGTTATTAATAATCGATGTGAATTTTATTTCTGTCAAAGTAACATTTACCGGAATACCCATTTTCCATTTCTGTAACTGACGACGAGGCCAAAGACGAATTGTGCGCAACTGTGATGCAATAATACTTCCTTTGTTG